GAATGTTGTAAGACTCCCTATAGGCAGCAATAAGTTAAAATCCTGCTAATGCTACTGGATTCTTTCTGAAGGAGCAATTTTTCAATTACACATAATTAATAGTAATTACCCTTTATCTTCAGAGACCAGAACAAAGAATAATTAATCCATCTTAACATCCCCGTTAAGGAGGTGTTAAATTTGGAGGTTTTACACAGCAGATTACATAGTAAGTTATCTGGTTTACAGTTGAGTCTGTGTTCCCTAATATGGAAAGGAAAGAGAAGAAAATCCTAAACTACCTGAACTAATATTCTAGTTCTTGATTAATTTAATTAACTAGTTTGGAAGCAGCTGTTGGCTTCTTGCAGCAGCTTGCTGCAAATGAAGTGTGCTGCCTACAGATCTCAGCAGTTTTACCATATTTGATAAATAGTAACATTCAAGGGGACAGTTTACTAATTTTTAACATATATCTATGAAGAAGGTATTTGCAATTATCCCCATTGCAGAGCTGGAGAAAATGAAATCCAGAATTCCAGGTCCAGCTTCTCCCTTGGCAATCACCTTTTTGTACTGCTCTTCTCTCACACTGGTTTTTGCTGCACAGGGAGACTCCTGATGCTGTGCTCATGCTAGGCAGCACATGCCAAACTCACAGACACTTAATGCCCTTTATCAGATCTTAATATTTGATTTCAATCTTCCAATGTGGCTTCCAATTTCCAATACCTTAATGGAAGCTCACCTTTTAAACACATGGGGTGTCTCTCAGAGCACATCCTGTTCCTGACTATTAACAAAAAATCAAAGAAATGTGAATTTACTATTTTGAACTTAAGCAAGCAGTCCAAGATTGCACTGCCAGCACTCACAGAGGCTGCAACAGAATTTGCTTCAAACACATGGTTTTGCAGGACAATTACTCCACGTGGCAAAGATGAGGGCAGTGCTGCTGGCAGCACACAGGGCAGCTCATGGGGCAGCTCTGACAGAGCAGAGGGCTCTGACCGATGACAGCTTGGGTGTACAGAAAGCTTATCATGAATGATTGCCTGTTAGGGTGATAAAAAAGAGGGATAGCTCTTAGCCTTATGTGTATTGATCTGAGGGAACCTGAACTCAAAGGAGAGGAGTAGAGAGGAGAGAAAATGAGGGAGAGTACAAAGGAAGAGACCTAAGGGAGAAAAAGATTGTCCCAAATGTTAAATGAAAGCATCTGCATGAAAAGCTCCAGGCCAGCATGCTCAGAGAATGCACTCTTCTGTCTCAGTGACCTTGTGAAGATAAACTGAACAAAAAGCTTCAGGCAACATCAGACAGGATTTAAGAAGCAGTTTTAATTTTAGCCAGATTGTTTTGTATTTTCAGCACTGAGGTTATCTGGGGATGCAATGTGCACACAGTGGAACAAAATGTAGTTGTCTCCCCCTGCTCTGCTGCCACACCTGATGGCAAATTCAGTTCTGTGCTTCCAGGGAGAAGCGAAAATCATTATTTTGGCTACACAGGGAAGATATAATTGTGGTATCACAAGGACAGAGTATCACAATGCATCCTCTTTTTACTCCAGAATGTAATTACTTGGCTACTTTATGCACAAGCAACACACCAGACCTACACTCCAACACAGTGTGTGCTGATGTGCCAGTTCTTTCTACTCACTTTGTGTCCTTGATCTCTATCTCCAGACTGACAGCTATTTGCCATGAAGAACCTGTTTATTCCCACTGTACCTTAGCTTCCTCATCTATAAAATGGATGCATTCTACTGAAAAAGAGTGCAAGGATTCACTAAAGTGTGTGTGTCTGTGTGTTATTGAATAAATTTACAAGCAATTTTAATTACAGCTAATACATACAAACCCTAGGAGCTGGCTGCACACAAGAAAACATAGATTCATCACAGTCTACTGCAGATTATTAGCACAATTAATTCCATACAAATGTATTCTGACCTGCCAGCAGGAGATACAGATGGCATGTAAATCCAAAGTGAGGATCTAAACCTTCAAGCCTGTAGTAAAATGTCAAATAATGAACTAAAATGGTAATAAAACCAACCCAGACTGATTGGTACCAGCTCCTCTGCAAGCCCACTACCACAAATAAGAAACAGCAGTTGGGAAAAGGAGACCTCAGCATTCCTCCTGCACCTCCCCAGCACCACCACTTCATTGGACAATCACTGATGAACATTTACACTGATGGAGAATCTTCTATCAAAGGTTCTTAAACTGCTTTACAAATTGTCTCTAATGTGTATAGACAGTGCATGTTATTTCCCCTGTCCTTGCATGCTCTGTCCTCCATAACCCCTATTTGATAAGATATCCCAAGGCCATTTTCTCTCCCAGTCTGCAGGAGAGACATCCAGCCTCTCTCTTGGCAGATCTCTTGACCCACTCTTCCATTTAAATAGCATTTTCTTATTTTTTCTCTCAGATCTTTTCTTAGGAGACAGTTCTTTCCCACCTCGAGTGTATAACTCACCATCACCTGCAACAGTTCCTTGAATCCTGACACTGGAATCCACACAGCAGAGCTGGCAGAGGATGAGAGTGAGGAGATGGGAAAACAAACGTGAAGATGTTGTAACCTTTCAGTGCTGTGCTGTCAGCTCAGCACACCAGGATGCCTGACTGCACTTGCACACCTTGTACTAACACAGACAGTGACTGTGCAGGGAGCTGTGGGGACCCAGGTGTGCTCTGGGCATCCTCCAAACAACAACAGGGAGCTAAGGCAATACCCTGGGTGGAACAGCACAGGGTTATGTCACAACTCTGCTCTCTGCACCATGTCTCTCCTCATCAGCCTTCTGGAGCGAAAGCAGAGCCTGTGCTGTACACAGGGCCCAGCCTGTAGCATGCACAGTGCACATGTCCTATTGGATTACAGGGCACAGTGCACTCACATGCTCTGCTTGTCAGAGCCCAGCGTGCCTCTGCAAGAAGGAAATAAAGGAGGGGATGGATAAAAGCAACCTGAGCAGCACAGGGCAACCCGAGCCCTGTCGGAAGGCAGGATGGGGGATGCCACCACAAGCACAGGGGCAGCAGGGAAACAGATCTGGCAGGCAAACTGTAAGCCTAAACTGGAATCTCACTCCACAAAGAAAATCAGTGGGAATCTTCATGAACTTTAATATTGTTCAAAAATGTGAGACTAGCTTATCACCTAGGAGCTCATTGTATTGACAAGTGGAACAGATTACAGTTAGATCCCCATTTGGATACTAAAACACAGAGCAATATGGCAAAGATCAATGCAATGCAGTCCTCTCATCAAGAAAATGCTTCTATCTGCATTAGCTTCAAAACTGCCCCCAGTCCCTTTGATCCTGGCCCAAGAGAAAAGGTCTCTTAGAAGTCCATGCTGGGCTTTGAGCTTTTTTCTCCTCAGGCAATTCACATTTTTCACTTCTTAGAAAAAACACGACCCGAAAATGTGATCACAGGTGAAGGAGAGGAGTTAATAGCCAAGGGGAGAGAGCAGCAGAACAGGCATCTGTTTCAGAGGGCAGAAGTTTATCACCCAGGACAGGATTTCCACTGGCTTTATCATTGTTTTCTGTGTCTAGAATGAAGGTCATTAAAGATGTTTCCCCTCTGAATTAGCAATGAGTTCCCACTTAATCTATACTGTCTCAGCACTCCTATGTGACTTGGCTCCAAGAACCTCGCTGAAACTCTTTCTCCCATCTCACATTCAGATATCTACCTCACATCTTTTCCCTTATTCCCCTCATTCCCTTCTCCTCAGTTAATTCTCCTACCAGATCTTTTCAATGAACCCTCACTGCTTCCTCCACAGTGTCACACATCACAGCTTGGGACACCACTACAGAAATAATTATAGGAAGTAGCTCTGTTCCACAATTTTCTTAGCTGTTGTAATTAATTAGCACATATCCCCAAATCCCCAATACCTGGAGCCTGAGGAGCTATAAATACTGGAGCTGTTTTCTGAGGGTGGCAAAGACAGAGCCCTTCCAGGAGCCCCGCGGAGGCTGTGGATGCTCTGCTGAGGCCTCCGAGGGGCCGCTACTCGCCCGCCTCCTCCGGATCTCCCGCGGCTCCCATCGCACGGAGACGGCCCGTCTCCCTCATTTAGACTTTGTAGGCACAAGACAAGGGGGACTTGGCCACGGAGGGTCGGTGCACCGCAGCGAAAGGGACTAAAGGGAAGCATCGGACCCTCGGCAGCCGCCGCGCTCCCTCAGCCGCCCTCAGCCGCCCCCTCAGGCCGGCCCGCGCGCCGCGCGCGCCCCCTGGTGGAGGGCGGGAGGGACGGCGGGACCCGGCGGGTGCGGGACCGGGGCGGGCAGCGGGACCGGGGAGCATCGTACCGCCGGACTCGGCACTGCTGACACCGCGCCTCAAGGGCTCTGTGCGGTTCTGGGCCCCCCAGTTCAGGAAGGATATTGAGGTGTGATATACCCCAGCCAGAGCGTGCCAGGATTTCCTCCACTAACAGTGCAGTGTGTCCAGAAGAGGCTGCGGAGCTGGGAAAGGGTCTGGGGCGTGTTTGAGAAGAGTTTGGGGTGTTTAACCGGGCGGAGGCTCAGGAGGGACCTTATCGCTCTCTACAAGTACCTGAAAGGGAACCGGAGTCCGTAGAGATCGGGCTTTTCCCACAGGCAACAAGCGACAGGACAAGAGGACACTGTGTTAAACTGCGCCAAGGGAATTTTAGGTTGGTCGTGAGGAGGAACTTCTTCACAGAAAGTGTGATCAGACATAAGAATGGACTACCCAGGGTGATGGAGGTGTTTAAGGAAAGACCGGACGTGCTCTGGCTAACACGGTGGTGACAGGTCACAGCATGGGCACGGTGACCTGAGGTCATTTGCACCCTCAGCGGTTCTGGCTCCGTGACCCGCGGGCAGCTCGCGGCAGCACCGCGCACGCGCAGCCCATGCCGGAAGGCGGGGCCAGGCTGTCCTCCCTTTGTCCCCGCCCCTGCACGCCGTCCATTGGCTACAGAGCGCGGAGGTGCCTCCCCATTGGCTGGGCCTGCCGTCCGTCCGCGTCGCGCGCTGCTGCCGCCGCCATGGTGCGCTTCAAGAACAGGTGAGGCGGGCGGGAGGCGCCGCTGCCGTGTCCGGCCGGTGCCGCGCCGCTCACGCCGCGCTGTCCCGCAGGTACGTGCTCTGCGAGGTGATCTCGGAGGACCCGCGGTGCCGGCAGTGCATCGAGGACCGCGTGCTGGGCCTCGCCGTCAGAGACGCCATCACACGGGTGCACGGGGATTACGGCCTGGCGTGCTGCTCCATCTCCTTCACAGGTGCGGGGGACACGGGCGGCCCCCGGGCACGGGTCCCTCCGGGTCCGCTCACCGTGCGTGTGTGTCCCGCAGTGAAGTACCTGAACGCCTACACCGGGACGGTGCTGCTGCGCTGCCGCAAGGACTCGTACCGGCTGCTGTGCTCCGCGCTGCCCTTCGTGCGGCACCTGGAGAGCCGCGGGCAGCGCTACCCCTGCTCCCTCAACACCCTGCACGTCGGAGGTCAGCAGCGCCCGGGCTCGGGGGAAGGACGGAGCTTTAATCACACCGGCCATGATGCCGTGGTGCTGCTCTGGATGCGACAGACACTCCTCTGTGTTAATAACATCTGCCTTCAGCAGATCCAAATAAGAAACAGGCACCAGCAGTTCTTTTTTTTGAAAGCCTCGTTAACTTTGCTTGAAGCTTCATTATATTTATCTCAAAACCAGAGCAGCAAATACAACGTTACATAATTTAAAATATATTTTCAAAGTATAGTATCTTCTGTATTGTGAAAATTAACCCCCAAGGGAACTAACAGGCACTGCATGTTTGAAATTATTACTCCACCATTTAACCTCAGCAGTGCAGAAGTCTGCAGCCCCCTTGTAGCATTTACAATAACAACCTTGTTTCCTGGGGCATTTGTCACTTGATACAATGCTCTTTGTGAAATACACATGCAGCTCTGAAACATTTGGTTGTGTAGATCGTTTCATGCTGTTCTTGTGACTTCCACAGGTACCATAAGAACATGTCAGAAATTCCTGATTCAGTATAACAGAACACAGCTGCTGAGGTTGTTGCAAAACTGTACAAATGAAGGTGAGTTTCTCCAGCCACTCTCCTAAAATTTTGTAGCACCAATTCCTGGGTTTTTTGTAGGATATGATGGGCTACTTCTGAATTCTTGGCCTGAGAAATGTTTCTGTCTTTAGAAGTGGAGCACAGTCCAGTGTATGTGAAGAGATCAAGTAATTAACCCTCTGTTGCTTTCTTTATTGCAGAGGAAAGACAATGCATACAGAAGTCCTTGTTGAGCTGTTCCCTTACAGAAGAGCAGTCTGAAAGTGGAGATGAGGAGGATGATGATGGCACAGAGACAGACTGAATGGCACTTGTTATTGTTCACCTCTATTCTGTACTTGTTTACTCAAGATGTGACTGATTATCTTCAGTGTTAAGCAGTGCAGGGTACTGGAAAAGCATTTGTTCATATTTAGACTTCATTCCCCATTCCAAATGTTTTTAAATTTACAAAAAAAATAAAACATTATTTCACTTAAGTAGATTATTTGCCTGTTTCACTCCAGGAGTCAAAACTACTTGCACTGCTGAGGAGAGCAGCAGCTCAACGTGTTCTTCATGCTGAGGTAGAAGGGAGCTTTAGGCAGTTGGCACAGGCAAGGAATGTAGTTAGTCTCCTTCAGCATACAAAAAGCACCAACATCTGCTTTTTACTTTAAGTGCACTGTTAGCCACAGGGCTGTCACTGTTTTGAGTGAGAAAAGCACCAGTTGTGTACACAGGAGCAGTGAGTTCATGGAATGTATGGCAGAGTGCAAGACTCAACTCCATCCCCCCCATTATAAAACTCATAGGTACAAGTACTGCTTAGATATTTATTAAGTTTACACCAATCAGTTACAGGAAAGTAGCATTGCTGGTATTATCTCGAATCCATAGGAAAACAAGATACAATTGAAGATGCTGTCCCTGTGGGGACAGCCCTGCAGCAGGGACAGCCTGCCTTGCCCACATCACTTCCCTTAGCCTGGTGCCTGTGACATGTGGAGGTGAGTTACACCAGCTCCAGCTATTCTCTCTTCCCAATGCAAAGAAAAGTTGACTATAAATGTGCAGAGATAACAGAACACAACAGATACTGGTTAGACACTTAAGTTTTGTTACTCCTGTTCCTTAGTTTAAGATGACTTGCTGTAACCACAGTTCACTGCATATCTGAATCCCTATTAGTTGCTTTCTCTGCCCTCATCAACTGTTTTCCCATATGCATTTAAAGTGTTGACAGAAGATGTGTTACACTGTCAGGTATCCTGTCTTAGTTTCTTTGCAGTCCCCTGACAAGCTGTACTGTCTTTCATTGAGTGGGGTTAGTTGTGACCAAGCGTGAAGCCAAGCTGCTTTCAAGGAATGTCTTGCAGGTGTTTCCTCTATCCTCCTGCAGCAGCTGGAATATTCTTTACCTGCCCCTCTCCTGTTCTTTCTGGTTGACAGCCACATGTGATGGACTCTTTGGTACCAGCTTCCCATGAGGCACACGTGTGGAGCCTGCTGCTCTGAAATCAAGCACCCATGCACTGATAGCAGCTTTTTGAACAGGGACACAGCCACTGAGTGCCAGTGGTGCTGGAATACCTGACTCCAGGTGCCTCAGACCAATATCAGACAGACAGAGCACACTGAAGCCTGTGCCACTGGGGCTGAAGACAGGAGAAGACACTGTCAGTCTCCCTCCCTAAGTTCAGTGGCACTTTTTACCAGCAGCCTGCAATTAATTCTGCCAGCAGGAAGGTAAAATGTGACCCTGTGCAATGTTCCAGGGCTCCAGGCTGCTGTGACAGTTCAGCTGCAGCACTGTGAGCGTGTGTGCGTTTGATTTATTGCAACTGTTGGCCTTGACTGGTACTTGACACCTAAAATTCATTTTATTCAACAAAATCCACACCACTTAACTCAGTAGCTCAAATCAAACCACAAGCAGTGCAGAATGTGACCACCCAAAGAAAGAGCAGGGAGGGGTCCAGAGGAGACATGTTCATAGCACAGATCAACTTAAATCCCAGAACCAAGCACATCCAGGCCCTTAGCCCAGTACAAGAGAACCCCAGTTTCTTGCTGGGGTGTAAAAGTTATCTACAGACTTCAGCTATCAGTTGTTTTTCCAACTCAAGAGCAGCCAGTGTCAAACCATCATTCAGAGGGTTACCAGGAGCCCTAGAGGGGAGTGTTTATTCTAGATGACCAGGTTAAAAAGAATTGAGTAGCCCATGGTTGGCAAAAAACAAACAAAAAGTAGCAGCCTCACTCACCCACATTAAAACAGACCTGAACAACTGAGAGAAGTCAGGAGGTTCCTTCTACCACTAGTGCCATTTTGAAATACAAATTCATCAAGCCACTTTAAAACCAAGTAGCCAAGTTCTGCTTTACACTCACCTCAGCTTTTTATCTTTCCAAGCCAGGAGAACAGGAGGAATTCTTGCTCTTTAGAAAAAGAACAGATATAGCAGCTAACACTCTAAAGCCAATAAGCTGTTTTGCCTGTATCCAGTGCAGCCAAAACCAGTTTCTCAAGAGAGCAGTTTGACAGCTTTACTGCAACAGCACTACTGTCAGTCAGCTGGACTTCTGCCCATGAATAATTACAGGAAAATAAAGGTTCTCTGCCTTTTCTCTTGGGTAATATTGCAGTACTTTGGCAGTGCCACACACCTGTAAGGACTTTCACACTGCTTATCAGGCCCAAAGGACTGACTCAGCAACTAGAAGCCTTGGCAGATTTGTCTCTGGGTTGTTACTTCCAAAACTCTGTTTCAGTACAAATTCATTAAGCAGTTGGAATCAAAAATTGTTACTTCAACATATACTATCATGGTTTCCTCCTGAAGCCCCTAGAAGTCCTGGAAAAACAAGTTTAGGCTGTTCAAATTTAAATACTTAAACTATAGCAGCAAAACAAAGCAAAATTAAAAGAAAACCAGGAGAGGAAACTTCTCTTGAATAGCAGAATCACTTTGTGTGAACAACAGAGGTGCTGAACAATAGCTTCTGCTTCTGTTTCTTTCTTTTCTTGCCTCCCTTTTCCTCTGTGGAGAATTAAAACAATACTGTCATTCTTCTCATGGAACAGGAACATCACACAGATATTATAAATGGTCTTCCCTGGCTTAAGTGGCTTCTACAGATCCACAACACTTACTATCAATTTACTGAACACCAGGTAGTTTAGCAAAAAAATTACTGCAGATGAACTAAGGGAGACTCCATCACATCTGAACACAGTTATAAACATGCCTAAATGATTGTAAAGTTGCTGTTGCAACAGCAGATCCTGGGACTGCAGTGTGCAGCAGTTTGCCTTTCCAACAAGTATCACTTTGATATGTGTCCAAAAAAACCACAACTGGAGCAGACACTCCACTGAAATTCCCAGGCCCTCCCATCCAACTGTCTCCATCCAGTGCAGCCTCCAAACAGAAGCCAAAGCTGAAACATCAGAACTGAGCATTAAAAGTAAGTTTCACCAGCCAGCACTAGGTTAAAGTTTATCTCAATTTGTTTCACATTCCCTAATTTGAAATTTCAGCTAGCAGTTACCTGGACATTTTGGTCAAACTGAAGTGGTAGTTCAGCAGCTCAGGTATTTCAGTTTAGAAATGTATAACCTCAACTTCCTTAAGATAGAGCTTAATTTAGGTTCCACTAGAGACATGGCCAACATGATTGTAAAAAGCCATCTTTGTCCTAACAGGATTCTTTGCTAGCTGGAGATCTCAGCTCCCACTAAGAGCTTTAAGCTGACAGAAGCCCTGGTCAAGCTGTTCAGAAACCACAACCTAACAATTTTCAGAACTGCTCTCTGGCCAATTCTTGGTCCTCAAAATTGCTGCTTTCACTTCTCCCAGAGGAAGAAGGGGAAATACTCAATTTTTTCACTTGAGAAAGCTTTCCTGCCCTTCTCCCTGCCTTTTACCTGATAAATGATCAGCTGTGGACGGTTTGTCCAGTTTCAGGAGGGCTGCCTCAATAGCTTGGCTGAAGGAATTCTGGAAGCTGGGCACAGGTATCCGGTCAGAGCTGTCACTCTCTCCATCACTCTCTCCAGGCACAGGGAGTGCCAGAGTGTTCTCATCTGAAAGAGGGAAGGAGTGTAAAAGGCTGTATAAAACTTCCACCACAAAAATGCCCCTCCACACTCCAGATCCTTCTTTTGAAGTTACAAGATTTCTCAGATTTAGGTGAATGGTAAAGAACCTGAAGTACTAATACCAAATTTTCTTACCTCTTGTCTTTGGAGCAGGTTTAGGCCACGTCTCTGGTTTTGCCTTTCCAACTCTCAGCATCTATCACAACAGTTATAGGATATGATTAAATTCCACACTCCAATCCTGCAGACCCCCCTAAGTGGCAAGAAAATCTAGAAACCCCTTCAAGCACTCAAACCTTCTGATATCTCCCCTAAGATTTATCCCACATTGTTTTTGTAGGGGAAGCAATTGTAGTCTCAGCCTAATCCCCAACCAAGACACAGGTAATTCTGAGAAGATTCACTCTGCTACATGGTTTACCTGGGCAAAGGAAGGGAAGGGAGATTCTTCTTCCAAGCTTCCACAGAGCAATGGGCTGACCTGGCTGGCAGCAGGTGACAATGGAGTTGGAATAGACTCTACAGAGAAAGGAACTGAGAATTAAAGCCAGGTACACTTAGCCAAGGCAGTCATTATGCTGCTTATCAGGATGTAACATAAATAAAGTTTTTATATCCTATGTAATTACTCATTTTGATCTCATTGGGTTCTATCCATCAGTCGCACAGTGGGATCTCTCAAATTTCCTCAATCTTTTTATTTAAGGAAAATTTAAGTTTGCTTATGGTTTTCTTTTGAGGTGTTTTTGTTTGCTTGAGGGGTTTTGTTTACTTATTTTGGAAAGCTGGGGGGGTGCTTTTTGTGGGTTTATTTTAGAATAATGTGTTGGAGAAGATGGAGATCATAGAAAGAAAAAATGCCAGTAGTGTTTTCCTGGTAAACATTTTTCTTCCCTTTTTGGGGCGTTTCCTTTCTTCTGCCTTATGTAAAAAATGGGGTAACTACAGTGCAAATCTCATATTGTCAAGGTAGAGGCAGCAAAAAGCAGACAAAGGAAGAGAATGTTTCTTAACCATGTCTGCCTTTTGTGTATTAACTCACAGGCAGCTTAGGAAAGAATCAGAATCATAGAATGGCTTGGGTTGGAAAAGATGTTAAGACCATCTCAATCCACCCCCTGCCATGGGCAGGCACACCTTTCACTACACCAGATTGCTCCAAGCCCCATCCAACTTTGCCTTGAACACTTTCAGGGATGGAGCAGCTGAGCTGCTCTGAAAAAAAGCTGTCTTTGATCAATATTGAGAAAGTTTAGCATGATGACCTGAGCAATAGATCCCAAAAGAAGGATCAAGAGCTAGATGTGATGTGTTTTTCCAGATGCTCACCTGTCTGAGACACAGGGCTTCTGCCAAGAGGAGACTGACAGAAGCCCTGATGATCAACGCTGGTAG